CCTCATCTTGGGCTCTGATGGGGAAACTCCGTCCCAGAGCACACATCCTCACCGCTAGCACCGTTATCAGGCCACAGCAACTTCCTGGTGACGTACTCCAGGCCCTGCTGGTCTTTTCCTTTTGAGACGATTGATTGATTGATTGATTGATTGATTGATCGATTTGGAAGGCAGTTACAGAGCAAGAGGTGTGTTCCATCTGCTGGCTTAGACCCCAGATGGCTGGACCAAGCTGAGCACAGCAGCCGGGAGCTCCATCCACGTTTCCCACGTGCGTGTCAGGGCCCCGAGCACTTGGGCCATCTTCCGCTGCTTTTCCACATGTATTAGTAGGGAGCTGGATTGGAGTGGAGCAGCCGGGACTGGACCAGCACTGCGGCATGGGACACCAGCATCGCAGGCAGTGGCTTCCCCTGTGACGCCATGACACCAGCCCCTCCAGGCCTTTCCATTAGACTTCGGGAGACCCCTCCCCCTCTGCCTGAAGTCACTGGGCCAGTAAATCTCATTCCCAGTTAGCCGGGAGGGGGACAGGTCCCCAGCCTTGGGGGCCTCCTCGCCGAGGAGTTCCTGGCACCGTCTGTGCCCTCTGCGACCTCAGACTCGCCGTGGGGCTCCGGAAAGGCTTCCACAGGTCTGTGAGGGGAGGAGGCGGAGCTGCTCCTCCTGGCCCCGGGTCCTCCTCGCCCAACTCTGCTCCTTTGCTCTCCCTGGGACTCCTGGTCCTACCACCGGCCCCCAGCCGGGTCTTCCCAGGGCAGAGCCTCAGGCCTGGAGAGACCAGCTAAGGCTCGGGGCATCAGTCCGTGGAGAGCCAGGCCAGCCCCACTCTGGCGGAGTCGGGCTGTCTTCTGGCACACACATCACCTACGACCCCCAGCCTGCTGCGTTTGACAGCCCAGATGGCGTCTGGGAAGGGGGGCTCTTGGCTGGGACACGCTGGTGATGCAGCAGCTGCACTCCTGCTATGGTGGCTCTTCTCCAAGCACCTGCAGGAGCCCGTCCGCGTGGGGGTGGGGCGCTTTCTCTGGCCCCTCTGCTGCCTCCCTACTCACCTGATGGAACCAGAGCCAGGCTCGCCTCTCCGCCTGGCCTTGCCCCAGTGGATCCTCCGCTCAATGAGGCAGGTGAGACAGGCAGCAGAGGGCGCTCCCATCCACCGTGTACTCCCCAGATGCAGGGGCCAGGGGCCAGGACGGGGCTGGGACACAGCCAAGTCTCCCCTGAGGGTGGCAGGAGCCCAGTCACTTGAGCCGCGTGTCTGCCTCCCTGGTATGCAGTGGCATGGAAACTGGAGTCAGGATTTGCCGCCAGGGACTCCCACATGAGGCGTGGCGTCTTCAGAAGCAAGACGGACATCTCCGAAGTGGGGTGTCCGGGCTCTCTCTCAGTCCTTCCTGTTGCTGTAACAAGACTTCTAAGACCAGGGAGTCTCCTGGTTCTGGAGGCTGGGACGCCAGGGTCAGGGCCCCTGAGCCGGCTCTAGGACCGCTGCAGCATCCCACGGCAGGGGCACGGTCTCATGGTAGATAGCCAGCTTTTATGGCAAAGCCACTCCCATATATTAATCTAAATAAGGATTAAGTGGCCAACACAGGAATTGGGTGGCCACATTCAAACCACAGCAAGGGCTTCCACACTGGGTTGTTTTAAGGGGTAAACGGGCACGATCCTTGATGGGAATCTAGCTTGGAAAAAATGGAAGCAGTTTAAATATGGTCTTGGCACTGTGGTGTGATGGATAAAGCCACCGCCTGCAGTGCCAGCATCCCACATGGGCACTGGTTCGAGTCCCCACTGCTCCACTTCTGATCCAGCTCCCTGCTATGGCCTGGGAAAGCCCAAGAGCTTGGATCCCTGCACCCACACGAGAGACCCAGAGGAAGCTCTTGGCTCCTGGCTTCAGATCAGCCCAGCTCCAGCCATTGCAGCCATCTGGGGAGTGAACCAGTGGATGGAAGACCTCTCTGCCTCTGCCTCTGTAACTCAACCTTTCAAATAAATAATCTTTAAATAATCTATATCTATATCTATATCTAGTCTGGAATGTCATCTTGTGTGACATCACTGACCACTTCTTTGGTGCAGGGATGGTGTCACACTTAGAGTATGTGTCTTTTTTTATTGTATTTATTTATTTTAGAGGTAGAGTTACATATAGTGAGAGGGAGAGGGAGAGAGTGTGAGGTCCTCCATCCCCTGGTTCACTCCCCAAATGGCCACAACAGCCGGAGCTGCACCAATCTGAAGCCAAGAGCCAGGAGCTTCTTCCGGGTCTCCCATGCAGGTGCAGGGGCCCAAGGACTTGGGCCACCTTCCACTGCTTTCCCAGGCCACAGCAGAGAGCTGGATCAGAATTGGAGAAGCCAGGATTCGAACCGTTACCCATACGGGAAGCTGGCACCGCAGGCGGAGGCTCTACCCGCAGTGCCACAGCGCCAGCCCCATCACGCGTCTTCTTAGGAGTCGCACACAGACATGCAAAAGGGGGACTCCCACAAGGACGACCGCTCACATGCAGGGTCCACGCACAACAGTAAGATCGTTTGCCCAGAGAAGGGGAGAAAGACAAGGCAACGCAGGGAAAGGCAAGCTGTTGAATCTAGGGGGAGGGCACTCACATGCTCAGTTTGCTCTCGATTTCTCTTAATGTCTGCAATGTGTCAACTAAAATTAGGGAGAAAAAGATGAAATGAGACAAGTTAGGCCAGGCACCCTGCTTGGCATTTTTTATGTAGGGAATATCCACTAAGCCACCAGGGGTGGCATCAGCACAGAACCAGTGGGCATCCCAGGCGCTGATCTGGGACACAGCCAGGATTTCCAGAGGGCCAGGAGCAAGCCGCCGGTGGCAAAACACACAGGTGACTTCGTGCAGTGCTGAGTGCTGTGAAGACAGCCGAGTGAGAGACCAGGGACCCGGGGGAGGGCAGAGTGCCCTCAGAGTCCCTGAGCAGGTGGACTGTGCCTGGGAGGGTGTAGAAACCAGAAACCCCCCCACTCTCACCTGTGTGTGCAGGGCCCTGGGAGGGGCGACGTCAGCCAAGAACTCAGCCTCTCCGTCCCCCTCTTAGAACTGAGCTGAGCTGAGCTCAGTCTCTGTGCTGGGAACTCCGGTCTGTCCCAAAGTCCAGATACCATCGGCCTCCTCGGACCAGTGAGCTCCTCGGTGTGGGGCGGGGGCAGTAAGAGCCAGGGTTCCCGCCCAGCCACTTCCCGGAAGCAGCCAGGAGCCAGCCGGTGGTCTGGAACCGGCGCTGGAGGCCATCTCTGTGGTCCCAAGACAACTCGCAGGGACACAGCAGCAGCGGCACAGGCACTCACCCGCGTTCCTGATTGGACGGGACTAGTTGAAGTCTGGCGTGCCACGCGTCCCAGCGGTGGTGGCTAAGAGGACTGCCATCGTCAGTGCTGGGGAGGGCACGAGCAGCGCTAGCCTGGGGGAGGGGCCCTGGGGGGCTCGGCGCCACCCACCCGGTTTGGCTCAGCAGTTTCACTTCAACAAGTTATCCTGAGGGGTCATCTTTGGGGGGCTCCCTTCCAGGAGCTCAGCCTCTCTTCTGCGCCCCCCTTCTCCCTGGCCTTTCCAAGGGCTGCTCCTGGACCACCCCCCGTACAGCACTGGGACCTGTCAGCACTAGGAAGACTCCTTTGTTTATCTGAAAATCCACATGTAACTGAATGGCCCATGTTTTACACTGCTAATCCTACTTTGGGGCACAGGTTACAAATAGCAGAGGCCGGGCAGCACAGGTTCAAGTCCCAGCTGCTCAGCTTCCAATCCAGCTCTTTGCTAACGAGCCCTGGAAGGCAGGAGATGGTGGCCCCTGGATGACAGCCCACGTGGCACACTCAGCTGCAGTCCCTGGCTCCTGGTATGGGCCTGGTCTTTTAGGGAGTGAACCAGCAGGTGGAAGATCTCTCTGCCTTTCAAATAAATAAATAGATCTTAAAAAGAAAAACAAACAAGTGGCAGAGGCCTCGTGCACCTCGTGCGGAACTCCCTCTCCGACAGCAGGCTGCGCGTTGGCTCCTGCCTCTTCTGCACGGCGCTGGGCAGTCCCTCCCTCTGCCCCTGGGCTGCGGGACGCCCGACTCCCCCGGGCTCCCGCGATCCACACAGGGCCGGCCCTCCTCCCCGCCCCGGGCCCACGCCAAGGCGGCCAGCGGCGGGGAGGAGCCGGGCGGAGCGCGGGATTCCCGGCCGCGCGCCGCCACCCGTGGTTCCGCTCTTCCCCTGGTCCGCCCCGCATCGAGTAGACGGGCCGTGTAGCTGGGTCCGTTGCTCAGCGGGTGGCGATTTCGACAAATCAAAGTGGGGTACCCTTGTGGAAGTTCGTGGCAAGGACACATTCGGCTTTCTGGTTCGCTCAAATCCCGGTCCCCGTCGGTGGAGACAGATCGTGCCATGACCCCGATGTCCCCGTAGTTCGCCGATCACGGGTACGTCGTATCCGCAGGGCCCCGGAGATCATGATAAAAGGTGCTTAGTCATAGACGGAGCGCTCAAAAAAGG